CCCCACCACACACACACACACACACACACACACACACACACATACGGATGGGAAGGGGAAGCTATGGGGAAGGGGGCCTTGGGGGTGCCGGGGAGCAGAGGAGGGGGTGGGGGTTATGAGATGCTGGGGGGCGGAGGGGCTGTGGGGTGGGGGAAGGGGTTGGGGTGCAGGGGAGGAGGAGAGGTGGGGGGAGAGAAAGGGGTGCGGGGATTGGTTATGGGGTGGTGGAGGGAGGGGTTATGGGGTGCCGGGGGGAAGGAGAAGGGGTGGGGAGGGCGGGAATAATGGGATTTCCCGAACGCCAGGAAATGTTTCCAAACATCCTGGTGTGAGGAAAGAGGCTGTGACGTGGGGAGTAGGAGGGAGACCCCTGCCTGGGGGAACGGGGGGGCGGGGATTGGGGCACGTGAGTCATAGGACTCAGGCGTCCGGCCGATATCTCCCCCCTCCTCTGGTGACCCTGACATTGAGCCCGGCCATGTGGCGAGGGGGATCGAGATCAAAAGTGTGGGGGGGAGCCATGGGGGGAGCTGTAGGAATGTGGCCCCCCCTTCCTCGCCCAGCTGTTTGGGGGACAGTGACCACCTCTCCCGCACCATGGTCACCCACAGTGGAGACCAACTTTGGATTCTCCCACCCACCCACTCACTCCTGGGGGAGCCCTGGGACCTGGGGAGGGAGTGTCTGGGATTTGGGGGGGGACAGGAGGGTGGGGTTCCCCAGGGCTTGGTCCAGGATTCCCCTCCTTGGGAAGTTTTCTTGACAGTCCCACAACTGAGAGGATATGTCGGGTTGGCGGGGAAGATTGTGGGGGGTGGTTCTGGGTACCTCTGTGAGACCATGTGGCTGTGTGGCTGTATCCTTGTGGCTGTGTGTGTCTGCATGTGACTGTGTATCAGTATGGCTGTATCCTTGTGGTTGTGTGAGTGTGTGTCTGGGTGTGACTGTTTATTTGTATGGCTGTATCTTTGTGACTGGGTGTCCCTGAGTGTGACTGTATCTGCCTGACTGCATCTTTGTGGTTGTGTGTGGGGATGTGTCTGGGTGCAATTGTGCATCTGTCTGGCTGTACTGTGGTAATATTTGTGTGTCTCTGGGTGCGATTGCGTGTGCGTATCTGCGGTTGTGCATCTGCATCTCTGAGTGTCTATATCTTTGTGATGGTGTGTCTCTGGGTGGCGGTGTGTATCAATAAGCCTCTATCTGGTGTGTGCGTGTGTCTTTACATTTCCCCTCTCCCCTGGACATAAATGATTGCCAATTAACTCCAGCTAATTAACGCCTCTCTGGCCTGGTCAGAGCCATACACACAAGGGGTTGGCTTCCCCAGCTGTGTCTCTGTGGCCTTGTCTCTAGACAATCGAGCCCTGTTGGAACCTGGCCGCAGGGCGTCCCGTTAACCAAGATGGTGCTCAAGGCGGCCACGCAGGTCATGTTTAGCAGAACTACGTCTGGCCATGGGTCGGCCCCACTGGGTTAGCCGTGGCCAGCGGAGGCTGGAGGCCGCCAGCCCCGCGTCCATACCTGGCCGGGGGTGTCTCGTTGTCTGACTCCACACCTGTGTCTTTGGGCGCCTGTTTCTCCAGGGGTGTCTTTCCCTCTTTCTGTCTATGTTGGGGGCTGCCTGACTGTGTATGTGTGTCTGTGTCATGTGTGTGTCCTTCTTTGGGGGGGTCTTTGTGTGTGTGTGTGTTGGGGATTGCCCATGTGTGTGTGTCTGTCTGTTTCTCTGGGGCTGTCTTTTACCCTGACTCTGCCCTCTCTGCCTGTATCTCTGTCTGACGGGTGTGTGGGGAGGCGTCTGTCTGCGAGTGTCTCTCCCCCGCCTGTCGCCTCTGGATTTCCAGAGCACGGGGTTGTGTTGTAACCCCCTTGCGACACTCTGGGCAGGCTGAGGGTGGGGACAGGCTGTGCCAGGAAATAGGCCAAGTCCACCCAGGGAGAGCAGAGGTGATACCGGAGTGATGGGCCCATGGAGGGGATCTGATGTGGGGCAGGATGCCAGGGTGATGGGCCCATGGGGGAGGATCTGATGGGGGCAGGATGCCAGGGTGATGGGCCCATGGAGGGGATCTGATGGGGGGCAGGATGCCAGGGTGATGGGCCCCTGGGGGAGGATCTGATGGGGGGCAGGATGCCAGGGTGATGGGCCCATGGAGGGGATCTGATGGGGGGCAGGATGCCAGGGTGATGGGCCCATGGAGGGGATCTGATGGGGGGCAGGATGCCAGGCAGGCCGTGGGTCTGAGCCCAGCCGAGCAGACCGTTGCTGATGTAACGGGGCTGCAATCCTGCCGTGTTTTCCTGACTCATGGTGATGTCACCGGTTTGCGTCAGCCCCACAAACCCCCTCCCCCTGCTCGGGCACCGAGAGGCACCCCGGCCCCTTGGAGCAACTTTAACCCCTCACTGCCCGGAGCTCCCCTGGGATCCAGCCCCTCAAGCCCCCTGAGCCCCATTCCCCAGCCCCCCTTGGTCTCCCTGGCTTCAACCCCCCCCCAGCGTCTCACAGGCGTCCTGTCCCGCCACAGGACAAGCCCTGCCATGAGAGAGGAGGTGGAGACAGGCGCCTGGTTCCTGTCACGCCTGGTGAACCGGCACGGCCGGCTGGACGAGGGGCGCATGGAACAGTTCGGGGAGCGCCTGGCCGCCATCCTGCAGGAGAGGTACAGCCGGCACTGGTACCCCGAGAACCCCGCCAAGGGGCAGGCCTACAGGTACGTGGCCCGGGCACGGAGGGGGGCGGCGCGGGGAGCAGGACGGCCGCTCGCACAGCAGTTTGGCATAGCCGGGTGCACCGCAGGTGGCCCGTCACAGGGTGGGGGCAGCTGGGGGCGCCGTCCATGGGCTGCATCGCGTGGCCGTTTGCCAGGCGGGTCGGTAACTCTTTGCCCCGGGTGCGGGGCCATCATGGGGGGCCGCAGCTGGGGGTCGCCACACGGGTGGCGGGGAGGGGAGCTCTTTTGCAGGGCGCTTGGTGGGGCGGTCACCTGCTGGGGGTCCTGTAGGGTCCCTGGCGCTCTGACCCCCGGCCTCTCCCGCTCCAGGTGTATCCGCATCAACCGATGGCAGCGGGTGGACGAGTCGCTGCTCCGGGCCTGCGCGGGCTGCGGGCTGGAGTACTCGGAGCTGGCGCTGCCGCGGGAGCTCTCGCTCTGGATCGACCCGGGGGAGGTCTGCTGTAGGTGAGCTTCCCCCCTGCCCCCCCGATCTGCTGGCTGGGGTCAGCCCTCTCCCCAGCTCCCGGCTGCCTCCGTCTGGCAGGGGACAAAAGCCCTACTATCGCTGCAGCGCCTGGAGAATTGCCCAATGGCGCGGCCAGCTGCGCCAGGACTCCTGGGTTCTCTCCTCCATGGGGACCCCCTTCGGGCACGTGGGGCTCACAGTGCTCCCACCAGGCACTAAACCCTGCCCCATACCCCTCTAGGGGGAGCAGGCTCTGCTCCAGCCCCAGGGTGGGGGGCTGGCTGGCTCAGGGGGGTAGGGAATGGGGCTTTTCCCCTCTAGGGGGCGCCGGTTCTGATTCAGCCGCAGGGGTGGGGACTGGCCGGCTTGGGCGGGGTGGGGCTCGGGGACCATTGTGCGCTAATGGGTCCGTGGTCCCAATTTCTAAAGCATTTTCTCCCCCCCAGGCTCGGGGAGAACAGCCAGTACTTCACGGTGAGCCCCTCGGAAAGGGGCGGCGGCAAAGGGACCCCGGAGCCCGAGACATCGGACTATCACTCGGAGTCACCGTCGGAGAGCTCCTCGGAGGACGAGGGATCAGTCCGGCCCTCTCCAGCACCGGCCCCAGCCCCGAGTAGACCCACCCTGCGGGAGCCCGGCAAACAGGTGATTGTGAATTGGGGGGGCTGGGTCCCCATGGCCCGTTTGGTGCCTGAGGTATGTAGGAGGGGAGCGGGGGTCCCTTTCCCTGCTGGGAATGGGGCTGAGACCCAGCAAACTCAACACACGCACAGGGCTGCTGAAGGGCTGAGCCAGAGGGGCCTGGAGCCCGTCCCCCCACAAGCCAGCCAGTCCACCCCCTTGGGCTGGAGCGGAGCTGGTGCCCCCTAGAGAAAGGCCCCATATCCCATTCCCCCGAGCCGTGCCCCTGCCCCGGGGACAGATCACAGCAGATGCTCCAGAGGTGGCTGCATCTCAGCACCAGCCAAGAGGTTCCTTCAAAACCAGCCCCTGCGCCCCACCCCAGAGGTGGCTGCATCTTGGTGTCGGGCAAAGGGTTCCTGCATAAACCGCCCCCACACCCCACCCCAGAAGTGGCTGCATCTCAGCGCCAGGCGAGGGGTCCCTGCATAAACAGCCCCCACCCCAGAGGCAGCCACATCTCAGCGCCAGGCGGGGGTCTCTGGTTATTTCAGACTCCTGCTAAGGTCTCTTTTCTCTCCCCGCAGGCCGCCGAGTTGTTCTACGTCCCGGCCCCCATGTGGGTCCCCTGCACCGCCCAGCGCCTGGTCAGCTACATCCCCACCTACCAGCCCCTCACCTTCTACTACGTCAGCGTCGGAGCAAAGCCCTCGCCGGCGAAGAGATCCAACCCCGACCGGCTGCGGCGCCTCACCCACCGGGCTGCCAAGGCTTAGGGGTGGGGCAGGGAGAGGGGAGAGCCCCCAGCCCCTCTCCCTCCTGCCCCCCCATCCCTTCCCCCCCAATGATCTCCACCACACTCCCAGGTTGAGACTGGGGGGAACTCACCACAGCAGTACAAACAGCGCCACCTGGTGGCCACGCAGCAAGCCAGGCTGGAAACGGCTGGAAGTCGGGGATGTCCTGCCTCCATCCCCCTGCCCAGCTGGCATCTTAAGGGTTAACAGCCCCTCTTCTCGAGCAGGGGGTGTGGCCCCATGGCCGTGGGGCTGAGCCAGTTGAGACTCAGTATCCTACGGGCCCATCTACACAGGCAAAGCGCACGGGCAAACTTGCTATGGAAGGGAAGCCAGGACGCCTGGGTTCTATCCCCAGTGCTGGGAGGATAGTGGGGTCTACTGGTTAGAACAGAGGGGGCTGGGGGCCAGGACTCCTGGGTTCCATTGTCAGCTCTTCTGACAAAAAAACCAAGCGCCCGCGCACACAGACAAAACCACCAAATATGTGCCTCAGTTTCCCCGTCTGTAAAACTGGGATCACAACACTCACCTACCTCAGATTGGTGCCGCGGTGCAAACAAACGCAGGGGCACTTTATAAAGGCTTTTTCCGTGCTGCTTTGCCGGGCAGGGGAAAGGATTATTCTAATGATTTTAATATATATGCTGTAAATAGCGAACCGCTGGTATTTAATTTATGGAAGCAGAGAGAGCTGTTTAGCAGGGAGGTGCTCGGGCCGGGGGGGGGCGGGGGGTTAATGCCAAATCTATTTATAGAGGTTTTTTTGCAAAAAAAAAAATCAAAAACAAATCCTTTTTCTATAAAAATTTGCAAGTGCCTATTAAAGAGATCTCTGTGGTGATGCAGGAAATGGTATGTCGACAGCTACGCAGAGCCGTCCTTTCATAGGCTGCGCGGGCAGGGCTGGGGTCTGAGGGGCTGGGCGATTATTTCTGTTACGGCACAAGCTAGTGGCCCCGGGCATGGCATGGCCCCCGAGTGCGCTAGTCGCAGTGCATTGTTACTGCTATTGGGTATATTATGGCTGGAGGAGGAGGGCTGGGAGCCAGCTTCTCCGGGTTCTCTCCCCAGTTCTGGGAAGGGAGTGGGGTCTAGTGGTTAAAGCAGAAGGGGGCTGGGATTCCTGGGTTTTATTTCAGGGTCTGTTCTGGGACCTTGAGCAGGTAATTTCCCCCTGTTCTCAGGACACCCACCACCACCACCTGCCTCTAAAATGTCCCAAAGGAAAAAAAATGGTAGGAAATGTGAGCAGGTGAGATTGGGGCCAGAGCAGCGGCACCTCTAGATACAGCCACTGGAGGGAGCCAGTGGGCTACGTATGACCTGCCTGTGACGAGCCTGGATGCAATTCCCAGCTCGTCCAAGGAAAGCGCCTTCCTTTGGCCCTGTGGAACTCGCTGCCGCTGGATGGTGTTGGGGGGCCGGAGATTCCAAGCGGGATTGACGCTCCATCTAAAGGAGAAGATCCAGTTAGAAGAGCTCAGGCTCCCAAAAGCATGGGGGGGCGGCACAGGACTGGACCCCTCGGGGTCATTGAGGGTCCTGCGTCGTTCTTTGCCCCCCCCCCCCAAGCTGCTCTCTCTCTGGATGGTCCCCAACCTCGTCCTCGGTCCTGGGCTCAGCTGATCCTTGGCCAGTTCGTTCTCGTGCCAGCCCTGTCCCTGAGTGTCCGGTTCCCCACCCTGGTGGTCTCCCCGATGTATTTCTGGGGTGCAATCACTCCCCCCGGTGCCTGCAACACCCTTCTGAGTCTCCTCTCATACAATCGCCCCCACGCTGCCCCCCGCGGCCTCGTCTCTGCTCTGCGCTCGGAGTTCCTCTCGGACGCGGGCGCCCAGAATTAACGGGGATCGGCGCTGGAGGGCAGCGAATGTGGGGGGGGGTCAGAGGCTGGCTGTCCCTTCGAAGCAAGCTAGGGTCCGCCCTGCCCAGGACTTAGCCGTGAGCCATAAGAACATCTGAATGGGCAGACTGGGTCAAAGCAATGGCCCATCTAGCCCAGGGTCGTGTGTCTGAGAGTGGCTGGTGCCAGGAGCATCAGAGGGAATGAACAGAACAGGGGAGTATTGACTGGTCCATCTGCTGTCGGCCACTCCTAGCTTCTGGCAGTGGAGGGTTAGGGACACCCAGAGCGTGGGCTGCATCCCTGGCCGTCCTGGCTCATAGCCATTGATGGACCTGTCCTCCAGGAACTCACCTAGGTCTTTTTTCAACCCAGCTATACTTTTGGCCTTCAAACATCCCCTGGCAAGGAGTTCCACAGACTGACTGTGCATTGGGTGAAGAAATACTTCCTTTTGTTTGTTTTAAACCTAGTGCCTATTCATTTCATTGGGTGAGCCCTGGTTCTTGTGTTATGGGAAGGAGTAAATAACACTTCCTTACTTTCTCCACACCTGTCATGATCTTATAGACCTCTATCATATCCCCCCTTAGTCGTCTCTTTTCCAAGCTGAAAAGTCCCAACCTTATTAATCTCTCCTCATACGGAAGCTGTTCCATCCCCCTAATCATTTTTGTTGCCCTTTTCTGAAGCTTTTCCAATTCCAACATATCTTTTTGAGCTGGGGCAACCACATCTGCCTCAGTATTCAAGATGTGGGCGTACCATGGATTTATAAAGAGGCAATATGGTATTTTCTGTCTTATTATCTATTCCTTTCCTAATAATTTCCAACATTCTGTTCACTTTTTTGACGGCCGCTGCACATTGAGTGGAGGTTTTCAGAGAACTATCCACAGTGACTGCAAGAACTGTCTTGAGTGGTTCCAGTTAATTTAGAGCCCATCATTTTATATGTATAGCTGTGATTATGTTTTCCAATGTGCGTTACTTTGCATTTATCGACATTGAATTTCATCTGCCATTTTGTTGCCCAGTCATCCAGTTTTGTGAGATCCCTTTGTAACTCCTCACAGTCTGCTTTGGACTTAACTAATTTGACTGATTTTTGTATCATCTGCAAACTTCGCCATCTCTCTGTTTGGCATCTTTTTCCAGTTCATTTCTGAATATGTTGAACAGCACCTGGTCCCAGTACAGATCCCTGGGGGACACCACTATTTACCGCTCTCCCTTCTGAAAACTGACCATTTATTCCTACCCTTTGTTTCCTGTCGTTTACCTAGTTACTGATCCATGAGAGAACCTTCCCTCTTAATCCGTGACAGCTTAATTTGTGCAAGAGCCTTTGATGAGGGACCTTGTCAAAGTCTTTCTGAAAATCTAAGTACACTATATCCACTGGATGCCCTCTGTCCACATAGAATCATAGGACTGGAAGGGACCTCGAGAGGTCATCTAGTCCAGTCCCCTGCACTCAAGGAAGGACAAAGTATTATCTAGACCATCCCTGACAGGTGTTTGTCCAACCTGCTTTTAAAAATCCCCGGTGATGGAGATTCTACAACCTCCCTAGGGAATCTATTCCAGTGCTTAACCGCCCTGGCAGGAAGTTTTTCTAATGTCCAACCTAAACCGCCCTTGCTGCAATTTAAGCCCCTTGCTTCTTGTCCTGTCCTCAGAGGTTAAGAAGAACAATTTTTCTCCCTCTTCCTTGTATCAACCTTTTATGTACTTGAAAACTGTTATCATGTCCCCGCTCAGTCTTCTCTTCTCCAGAGTAAACAAACCCAATTTTTTCAATCTTCCCTCGTAGCTCATGTTTTCTAGATTTTTAATCATTTTTGTTGCTCTTCTCTGGACTTTCTCCAATTTGTCCACATCTTTCCTGAAATGCGGTGCCCAGAACTGGACACAATACTCCAGTTGAGGCCTAATCAGCGCGGAGCAGAAGAATTACTTCTCATGTCTTGCTTACAACACTCCTGCTAATACATCCCAGAATGATGTTCACTTTTTTTGCAACAACATTACACTGTTGACTCATCTTTAGCTTGTGATCCACTATGACCCCCAGATCCCTTTCCACAGTACTCCCTCCTAGGCAGTCATTTCCAATTTGTGTGTGTGCAACTGATTGTTCCTTCCTAAGTGGAGTACTTTGCATTTGTTCTTATTGAATTTCATCCTATTTACTTCAGACCATTTCTCCAGTTTGTCCAGATGATTTTGAATTTTAATCCTATCCTCCAAAGCACTTGCAACCACTCCCAGCTTGGTATTGTCTGCAAACTTTATAAGTGTACTCGCTATGCCATGATCTAAAGCACTGATGAAGATATTGAACAGAACATGCTAGTTGACCCTCTCAAAGAATTCTAATAGATTGGTGAGGCATGATTTCCCTTGACAAAAACCATGCTGACTGTTCCCTAATGAATCGTATTTATCTCTAGGTCTGATAATTCTGTTCTTTACGTTAGTTTCAACCAGTTTGCCAGTACTGAAGTTAGGCTTCCTGGCCTGTAATTGCCGGGATCACCTCTGGGTTTCAGGTGGAAAGGAGGGAATTCATCACTGATGGTGGGGTGGAGTTTGGGGATCAGGCAGGGATGGAGGAAGCCAGCAGGGTGTGAATGTCCCAGGGCCTATGACCTGCCGGGGACTCATTGCGTTAATAATTGATAGCGCCTGAACCAAGCAGCCTTGGCAATTGTTTAAGGCGGGAAGGGGGAGTTTTCAGGGCTCGGATCAGAGCAAAGGGGAGATGCGGAGCAGGAATTTGCTGTCCTGGCAGAGAAGGAGAGAGAGAGAGAGAGAGATTCCCTCTCTCTACAGCAGCTGTGATCTCTAAGATCTCTCACGAAGTGTGTTAATAAGTGAGACGATACCGTCCTCGGGGTCTGCGCCAGCGCCCTGCCCTGCCAAGGAGAAATGAATAATTCTGTGCATTACAGAAGCATCTACAAGTCACAACTGAGATCAGGGCCCGGTTGCGCTGGGCGCAGGGCCAGCGCAACCCATTAGGCGACCTAGGCAGTCGCCTAGGGCGCTGCGATTTGGGGAGCGGCGACCGCAGCGGTATTTCCGCGGCGGAAAAGCTGGCGGCGCTCCTGACTGGGCGCTGCCCAGACACAGCGAGATCTGGCCCTGTCACATGGGACGCTGCATGGACAGAGACTGTCCCTTCAGTGAAAAGCTCCCCCTTGGCTCAGACACATCCCCTGCCCCATAAGTACCTAGCCCAGGCCCTGTGGCTGTTAACACCCAGCGCCCTGACTTGGCAGCCAGGAATTCGTTTACACGGTTTGTCTGGACGTAGCCGGGTACAGATCCCCCAGGCCAGCGAGAGGAACCCCCCTTTCTTTTTGGGTGGGGGGGACGGCAGGATAGTTGTCTATATAAGCCAAAGCACCTCCTATCAGAACGGCTGGGCACCCTGTCCCTGCTCACCCACTTTATGGCTCGTCACCGGATTTTCCTAGCTCACCTCTGGGGAGGAGCAACACCAACCTTTTTGAACGGCCGGCTGAGCGCGATGTCACCCGTTCGCTCTGCCCTTTGCTCCCACGTGGCAAAGGGACCCGATTCTGCCTTGTGCTATGGCCCTGCTGCCCGAGCCTGGCAGCGTTAATCACCGCGACAGCTTCACCGAACCCCAAACAGCCAAAGATCCCGCCCCCAAGGGCGGGCGGGCGGGGAAATCCTGAGATTGCATTAAACAATCCCGCGATTTTAAAGCAATCTTGAGGGGGTTTGTTCGCTGTCTTGTGGTGTTTGGCAGGGGAGTTGAGGGTCCTTCATGGCACATTTTCAAGCGTTTCTGTGTCACTGCAAGGGCTGGGTCTTTCGTCCTTCCCCACGACTGTACC